TTATATTTTTCTTCCCTCAACATGTCACTATCTTTCTTCTTCCTCTTCTTTTCCTTCCATCTTCAACGGCCCGAGACAGAAAGGAATAGAAGAACCCGGAAAGGCGCCCCTTACGCGCGTCCACCCATCTTCCACATCTCCACTAGAGGTACATGTGTGACCATCACACGTCTAAATCTCGATTGTGGCTCGCAGCCTGCGAACGAATTCGAACATCACTGGACGCCACGATTTTTACTGGTGAAAAAAAGAAAAGCAAATGTGAGAGCTGAGCGAGTGTGCTACTGTATACATACCTCCTCTCTGCCAAGGCCTGCCACTAATGCCTGTCAAAAAAGGGGGTCGAGAAATCCAAGAGGGGGGTGCAGAACTCGGAACACCAGGAAAAGCGCGAGATTCGTCGTTATCACCGTGGCTTGACCACCAACACTTGCAAAACGGTGCGTTGAACATGTCCCATCCTCACTCATCTATCGCCTCAACACTGTGACGCAAGCGCCAAGTCGCAGCCTTGTCGATTACCTGGCGACAATACGCACCGTTCTGCTCGAAGTACGGGAATTGACGTTTATCCCTTTTCGTCTTCACGTGCCGCCAGCCACGCCCACAAGACATGCTTACACCACCGTTGAGGAATGGTGCGAAACCCCTCTTGTGGTTTCGTTACCGTATGTGGTTCCATAAAGTGTCTAGAACAGGAAATATTATCTTCGTTAGCCCGGTAGATGTCATGGCACGCCGAGAATCCTTCGCTATTTCCGTCTCAGCCGAAGTGCCAGCCAGCAGTTCTGAAGAGTGGATAATTGACATGGAGATTACGGATCTCGATGCATTTCCCATCTTTTGGCCAATTTTCAGTCTGGTTGGAGATGCTTCCTTGCTTCCGTCTCTGGCACCAAAAGAACGGAATGGCCTGTTGGCCACCAAGATATTGAACCATTGAACGTTGAAGCCCCCGTAATTTGAAGGCGATGGGACGTCATTCGGTGAAAAACAATAATCGTTTGTTCTGGAATTTGAAGTTTTCCAAAGGTCTGGTCCTTCCATCTCTTTTCTTTTGCCGATCTGCCGACCTCTGACTTCAGTTCTCCCCACGGAGATCCCGCCTTTGAAAAGGCGATATTTCTCTCGTCACCGTACATCAGTCAAGTTTCAGGTTCTATACAATATCGACAGTATCTCTTGAACCTTCGTATGGGTCAGTGTGATACATGCCATCGTCCTGCATTCTCTGACTTCATGTCATCTCAAGAGCCACGTACGTTGATTGGCATCGAGATGACAGGCCTCCCGCCGTCAGTATCAGGCTCTCCACCATAATTCCATGTACCTAGGTGTAAAGACCATCACCAGCTGTACACTAAAGCTTCAACAAGAAATGCAGTAATAACAATGACGATGGCAACAATACCTAGGTATTTCGGAAAATCTGGACCGCACTTCCAGCCACTGGCAAACATGTCTCGACACGAAGCATGGCAACCCTACCGCCGATCTCATGTGATCACCAAAACCGTTGACGAGAGGTTCGCATTTTTTTTGCGTTTTGCCGTGTTCCAGCACCCGTTTCAGGTTCTACGTAACATGGAATGTCATTGCAGAGCCTGGCGTGGCAAGTTTTGCCCGCGTCTCGTTGGCCACGGCAATGTCGTCCAACAAGCGCACTTTGCCGCCAACCTATCCGCCTTCACGCCGCTTGCGCCGTAGAATTACAACCCTTACGCACAACTGGTACCCTATTTCCTATATCCGTCTCCTTGCAGTTCGTATTGTAATGGGGAGATGCAAGCCACTGAAGCCTCTGACCCCTGATTCCTTGCTTGGTATTAACCACTCTAACATGAGTGTACCTCAGATGGGGTTAGAAATGGGGCTTGCTAGCTGCTGACTTCTCTAAGGAATAGGAGTATATGACAGTGTATGGAATGGCTGAGAGATACTCGAACGGACAAAACTGTCAGGAACAAGACAGAAATAGGACCTGGTCGATAACAACGTCCCGAAGTTTGAAGAAATGGTGTGGAGTGGTGTCTGGTGTGTACGACGCGGTGCTGACATGTTTTCCTTTCGTTCACAGGTACGGGCCACCATTGTGTACTGTCTCTGCGTTGATCTCAACTTAGAGGCATCCTTGTCCCTGTCATTTTTGGATCAACGCAGGATGGCGAGCAACACTGATCACGAAAAACGCCATAACTCCATTGAGGTTCTGTCATGCAAGCCCACTAAGGTCCGAGGTCCCATTGGTGAATCCGTGAAACACAGATTTTGCATCTGCGTCAAGAAGAGGGAAACATTTGATCCGGCACTCTTCCGACAGTTTGGAACCGAGCTTTGTTCAGTTCGCAGGTGGATGAATGAGCACCTTGATGACGGCTTGTTTGACGCGCCATCGTGCTAGCTACCTACGTACCTCTACATTCAGTCCACTGGATATGCTGTTATTGGGCTGGGTCTTTGTGCGCAAAGAAGCGACTGAGATGTAGGGCAGATGCGAGAGCTGGAGTGCACTCTTCCGAGTTGTTGTGAAGTGGTGTGCTATCAACGTTCAAACGTAAACAAGACCACGTGTTCCCGAGGAGTGCAACACAACTGCATCACCAGCAAAGCATGAGACACGATACGTGAAGAATTCGTGGGGCATAGCGCGATGACCAAGAATAGAAACCTGACGTGCATTCTGTCCCTGGTGGACCTGCGTTTAGAGTGTTCCATGCAGCTGAATGTACCTGACTGGCCAAGCAGTGTTCGGCTATCTCGAAACGGCCAAGACTACAGCCATGTGTTTTCAAGAGGGCTAGGATGGTATGACGACGACGAGGAACGAAAATAGTGATGATCATGCTAGTATAAGCCAAGAGGGAGCGTCTCGCATGAGAAGCACTTTTCTCAGACGTCGTATAGGCAGGCGACGACGAGACAGGTTCAATACTTGACGCCATCAAGAACCCTAAAGAACATTCCACAATGGTGCAGTGCACCTGGCGGGAGACCACCGTATTCTCCAAGCCATGTGCGGTGCCTGTGGATGCATGTTGAGAGGATCACATGGCGTCTTCGCCTTCTCCCTTGATGTGAACACCGAACACAAAGTACCACTCAGCCTTGCAGGTCAAGTTTCGAGGCCTGCCTCCCATTGGCTGGCAGGAGAGGAAAATGGGACAAAGGGGAGCTCGCGTGGCAGAAATAAGCCAATCGCCATGTGTATCTGACGCTGATTCACGCATGCAGATTGGTTTCCAAACTGTCGGGTCGGCCCTTGGGCATTGTGGAGAGTGGAGGGAGAGTGGGTAGATCAGGAAACGAAAGAGAGCAAGGACAAGCGAGAGGGGTGGGGATTTGGAAGGACAAGTCTGGAATGGACAAGTCGTAGCGAGGTGCTATGTTGGTAGTGAGGTTGGACTGAAAGTAGGTAAGCAGTGGTGCCGACACTGCCAAGGCTTAGCAATACTTGCGCCTACTTAACGGCCGTCGATAAGGCGGCCACTAGTGACTATGGTCCTTGACCAGGCGACAGTGCCTGTTTGTTGCGCTTTAGTTTTCTGTTTCCGTTTCTCCCGAGTCACTTGTGCGTGGGGTTTGGACTGTGGCGTGTGCCCTCCCCCAGTCTTCAGCTTTTCTATCTTGTGTCTTCATATTCTTGGCAAGCCATTTGTAGTATATAGAACATTGGGCTCGCTGGTTGATCTGGAATGACTGGTCTTACGTCTTGAGAGGCTCCAGAGGCGTGGGCTTGCCGTCGATAGATTTGTCGTCAATAGTGGAAATCGTGCCATCATACCATGCCCCACAGTGATCTGGATCTTGAAAGATCCAATTGAGACATGCCGAACGCTAGCGCTCCTTGGGCAATGATAAGGACTTGGACGGAGAGGTGTACGTACACTAGTGTAGCGCAAGGCCCGGCAGGGATAGCACAGTCCAGCTGTCAGACTTGCCCTTATTGCCTGTCAGACCTGGGGACAAGTCAAGGGATCCCGGTGACGTATGTTTGAAGCAAGAACCGAACTGTGAAAGAGACGGTGGAAATTTGTTGGGGCGTGGGATATCAGTCTCGACTGGACTTCAAGGCCTGCGACACAACCGGAAATAGGTAGAGGTACCCAAAGCCCGATTGATGGTGGAAGAAATTAGGTAGTAGAAAATGAACTGCCCCCAAACGCAGGGCCAGAAACAGAACCGGAAATGGCCAATACATCGAACTTGTTGAGTTACGATCCGACTACACCTCCATAAGATCGTGTATCGCCCATCATCCGCCTAAGAAACTGATCGGAGGTTGTGCCGGGTCCGGTTGTCCGACTGTCATTGGCATGTTCGTCGAGTCCTTATCGAGACTGGCAATTTTCGAAAAGGAAACCGGTGACTGCACCTTCATCCGTACCTTACTTAGCGTCAAGTCTTGCCCTGCTGTCCACCAAACCAAGTGTATCCCGGGACTGGGAACCGTGGTGCCAATGGCAGTGGGCCATGCTCTCTCCAGTCCCTGGGCAGCGCTGAACTGCCAACGAGACCAGTGACAGCCACCCCTTGAGAGCACAAGATGCGGGGGAGGCTGAGCTAAAGCCATCCTCGCCAGTGACTTCACGGCAGAGCTCTTCCGTCCAACACACGAATTTTGGCCCTACACTGTCTGTGATAGCTGTAAGTTATCGCAGTGATGCCGCGAAGGGAGAAGATACCTTGGAGGTATTCAAGAAAGTATACATGTTTTTCTTTTCTTTTCTTGTGCAGGTGACTCGCTATTCCGTCCGAGATTGGTCTGTTTAATGACGGCTTAACGTCAATGTAAACGTGGGGGAAGGCAAAAGGGCCACCCAACGGTGCAACGCAGTGACCGACTACCGCCAGCCAATCATATGTGGACATTTATTGATTCAGTTGACGACGTCGGTTTGTTGCGCGGATAGTAATACACTGTCCTCCAGGTCGAGACGTTGATACTGAAAGCAGGTATCTTGTGTATTTCTGGCTCTTACTCTTCCGATCCCATGTTTCGTTTAGTCTCGTTCCCTCCAGATAGGCAGTTGTGGCTTGGGGACTGACCGGCTTAGCAGTGCATCTTGGGCGTTGGTGGTGGTTCGCGGCCAATACGGCCTCCGGATGGTGTAGCACTGCGTCTTCGCTAGCTAGACGTGCTTTTTGCCCTGAAGCCAGCACATATGTACCAAGAAGATCGGCTGATGGAGATCTCGGGTAGATCCCAAATCTCCAATCTGACGCGCTGAGACGCTGTCAGTTTGTTGGATTGTGTGTCCCTCACCCGATGACCTCCCCGATGGTCCAGTCTCCGAAGTCAAAACATGTTCGTTCGCCTTCCGAAACACGAACCATTTCCACTGCTTTTGCCTGGCTGGGACGGCTACCCGTGGAGCAGCAGGAGAAGCAGCCTCGCAGGTGGTGAAACACGGCTTATGTCTCGCTGTCTCTGTCGTCCATCCTCTACCGTGAACCGGCGGCTTGGGCCGACAAGAGGAGCGTTCGTGAGGAGGGTAGCGAGTTGTCCCTGTTGCCCACACCTGTAGACATCAGTAGACGTTAGTTGGAGGAACAAGAGGGACAAGTAGTAAGTACTCGGTACTTAGCGGCCTTAAGGACACACCCCTCCCTTGTCTTGACCGTAGCTGTGCACTGGGTACCTTGGCAGATTGCCCAATGACAGTCTGCGGAGTGGACGACGACGACATCCTTGGGTGATGTCGCGCTGAAGGAGACTTCGGTAAGGTAGGTACCTAGCGACTGTCGGTAGCGACGGCGCATGCCATTAGTCTCGAGGGTATAACACACATAGGACCGACCTCGTCCACGAATTGGTGTCGGCTCCGCGTTGTCGAGTCGACTCGAGGTAGGTTGACAGTGGACGGCTGCCTCGTTACTAAGCGGAATAGCAGGGAGGGGCCCAAGTTCCCGGGCGCCCACTGTCGCATTTGACCCACTTACCTTTTAGTGTACCACTAGTGTCCGTAGGTGTTCATGTCGGTGTTCTAGCGCTTTTTGCCCTGTTATGCCCTGTAATATTGTTAGTGCATTGCCCATCCCTTCCTTTCGACCTTTGTCGTCAACTTCAACTTTGCTTCTTCTTCCACAACATCGATAATGTGACACATTACCCTTGCCACGCGCTGGGTTGGGCATCTGTTCGGCCAGTAGCTGTCAGACAGACATGCTCAAAAAAAAACTGACTGATGCCGCTGCCCTGTCCGCTAACAGATTGAAGCCGGTGAAGGACCCGGTGCTTTGGAGATGGAAGGCCACTCACTCAGGTCGTCAACATCCCCGCCATACTCACTGCCAGCAAAACCGCGACGGCGACAGTCCTCGGCCGGTCCGCCGTCCCGCGCTCAGCAAGGTCAGCTGTCCATTCCCGAGGCCCCGGTTCCCGTCTTCACCAGACGACACGTAAGACATCACCAAGTCAATACCACCGGCACGCCATCGTTGAACCATTGACCGTCTTGTCTCAGCCCAACTCCGAGTCCGGGAAAGATTGTCTGTCTCGGTCAGCGCGGTTCCTCCCATTCTGCAATCCCATTCTCCATGAACCTCTACACCCCAATTAAGTGCCTGCCCAAGTAATGGTTGAATAGACCCAAGAGTTCTCATGATTTGATCATCCACCCAAGACCAAGTGAACCCTCACTCAACTGCCTTTTGACATCTGTGGGATCCCTATGGCACCGCCTGATGATAGGTTCGTCTCGTTCTTTCCTCGTCTCTTTCATCCTTAGGTTTTCTTCTTATCTTTGGTTGGTGTCAAACATAAACAACCTATCGATATTTCACCATCCATCCGCTGCACAGGTTGCTATGTCATTTGGCCCGTTTGGCTCTAAAGATCCTCGCAATTCGGTTCACTGCAACCATCATCACTACAACTGACATCACAGGATATGGTTTGGGTCGAAATATTTGAGATTCGGCGGGCAATCCTCATAACGCACACCATGGCGCCAAAAGATCAGCCCATGGGAAGTTGCATCGCGTCTCCATTCAGCTCTTTGAGCCCTCCCATACCGAAGGGATATCACGATCCTCCACCCCCCCCCTTCTCAGAAAGAAAAAAAAAAAGGTTATTCCCTGTTCTGTCCTATCCATTACCTCCACCATCGCTAGAGGTACCCTTCACCACACCGAAGCGCAGAAACTAATAGTCCTTTAGCTGCCTTTTACCCATTTCGGGCCACTAGTCCTCCTGCCTGTCATGTCACCTGTCTAATGTAACTACCTATATGTAGCTGTAGGTGATAGTAAGTTACCATTCACTAAGTGGGTTCTATTAGGCAGGGAGGTCAGCCCGCCAACAGTTTCCTTTCAATCAACGAAACCAGCCAATGAAAGGAAAGCAAAGGCGCAAAAAGGCAAAGAAGAACAAGGGAGCTCTCGCCTCTATGTAACTCTCGTCAAACGAGGGATGTGCGCTAAACGCTCATTGCTCCGACCAGGTTTTTGGAAACTGGTTCATTGCCATCACATCCAATACATCTGGTGCTTATCGATCTAATCGGGGTCTCCCGCTTGATCGAAATTGTGGGCGTGTCATGTCAATTGATGAAACCAGGTATTTGGGTCCTACACTAGAAGACTTCTGTACACTACAGTAATGCTCTCCACTTCTGTTCCTTTCTCCCCGTCCTGTAAACAACAGCGAAGAGGGAGATAATTGAAATAGGTTGTTTCAACGTAAGCGTTGTTCATCCCATCTTCGCTAAGATAGGTAGGTATTAACACACACCCGGGGTTCAATATCATGGCGTAAACTGGTTTCCCACGAAAATGTACCTCTAGCGTCAAGTACAACTAGAGAGCCGGCCTTCTACACACTGATACTCCAGAACACTCCAACCAATCCGGTTGCTAATGCCCGTTCGTTCTGCTAGGTCTTCTGTAGCGGGCCGGCATGTACATCATCTGTCACTACCTAGAGGTAGGTATTTATCTCAGACTGAGGGGAAGTCAGCGCAGAGCATCACAGTCACTACACGTACCTGTCAAACGATTTAGCCAAGTGTACCTACCTATTCTTGATGAAGACACCTAGCCAGTGCTCTCATAATGCTCAGATCCTAGTCAACTTGGGGTTTGCATTGCTACACGCATCTATTGTCTACCTACCTACCTGAGGGATGTAGGTAAGGAACAAATCGTAAAGATGCTGTTTAGAGGTAGGTAAAGGCCGAAAAACCTGACCGCAAAACGAAAACCGAACAAAAGCCTACCTACCTACCTAGGTATGCATACGGGTGGAAGCCGGTGCACTAGCATCATGCATGCATCGTTCCCGTCCGTCAACCATCGTCAGTCCATGATCGCGCTTTTCTTGTCTGTAAAACCCTTCTTCTTCGTGTAGGCTGATTGAGTCTGACGGATGACTAAGTGATGGTGGCGTCAAGGTGGGGTGTAACATCAATACCTCTAGCGTAAGGGTCCTTCGGTGATCCTTGATAACCTGAAAAAGGTGAAAACGAAGCCGGTGAAGGCAGTGATATCCACTAGAGGTACCTACGCAAAAGAAGAAGCAAAGCGTGAATTTTCAAATTCCGCATTTGGAACTCTATGGCAAGCGACATTTTGTTACCACTTTACCCTTGGACTACGAGCCTGCTTCTTCACCACCTCGACGCTACGAACATTGCGTACATGCCGTCTAGATTATGCATGGTAAGGGACAACTGGTGATCTGTCAAGCTCTGATTCGCATCCTCCTTCCCAGGCATCACGTCTCTACCCGAAATGGCGGACAAGAAGTGATAACCCACGTCGGCACCCTTCAACCCAGCAAAAAGACTCAATCATAACCAGCCAGCCTTGGGGAATTCGGGTTCTCTGCTGATCATGCCATATCTGATACGCTATCGAAAGGGCGATCAAAATCAAGTTGTGATATCTCCTTTAGCGTAGACGTATCACTGAAGCATATCGTCGGCAATAAGTACGTCTCCGAAAGAGACGTCGGTGGGGTGAACTTCTGCGGAGTAAATCGTAGTATCTGTAGTCAGCTAGACATTGTTGTTGATGAGAGGAGCCTGAAGTTATTACCAAGGATGCCCAGCCAAGAACACGCCCATCGTCGATACCAAGTATTGCCGGATATGGCGCCTTACTCAGCTCAATACCTAGGCAGCGGAAACACAAGTCCAATAATGATGAAGGGGAGGTGTCAGTCTCCCTCTAGCTGGTTATCAACATCCACGGTACAAGTCCTGCACGATAGTTTTCATTGCACTGCCCTTGGGGGAGACCAGGTGGTCTTAATGGACAAGCATAGGGCAATGTGTCTAACTTCCATCTTCGTCTTGGCACTTGCCACAACCAAGACTTTAAGCTTGATCTCAAAGACTCACAGGGTCGAGGTTGCGCAAGGCTATCAGTCATGTCCCCAACCCACAGCCTTATCCGAAAACACGGCTGCTCGAAATACACACTGAGTGACTGATGGCGGAGAAACCCTTCCACGAGTGCAACAACAACGACTGGAGCATTGTGCATGTGATAGCTCGTGAATCATCCTGAAACACATCGATCTTCGTATTTGCCTCCATCATAGAACTGTGACAGACGGAGATATTATACCCGAGTGCTCATGGCTTGTCTGACCGACCCATTCGTTGCGGCTCAACAAGGCCAGTACGGGCGGTCTGGATGACCGGGTTGCGCCCGTAGCTCGTGAATGATACCGCACACTACCGTGGGACCCTCCATACACCCTGGAAGCCAGCGCAGCTGCCGATATGCCGCTCTCTGCTCACGTCCATGCCGTATCACCAGCTTCTTCTCCTTCCCGGCCGTTACAATGGAACGGTCTCTCATTGTCAGGGCATACTTCCAAGTGCCAAAGACACCGCGTCATGAACGTAACCTACCTCTACGTCCCGAACGGCGCCAACAACGCCATGGACAACGTAGTCCATTACTCCCACTTTTCAGAGAAACTCTCCGGTCTTCTCGCGCTCGGTTCACCTCCAGACCCATGTCGGTACCACAGCATTTTTTTCTGTCACCTGTCACAGAAGATCCACGGGATGCAAAGAAGAATTGAAAATGCATGGTACATTGATGCTGTCGACTCCGCGGGATTGACAGGAGCCACACTGGGACGCTTGGGCGGGAAGGAGCATGTGGTGTGTGACAGAGTATGCTGGGGGGGATTTCGTTGTGTGGTCGGTATTGACTGGTGCCGAGGAGTTCCATATCTTTGAGCCGGTGCCACGGAAGGGTTCTTTGGCTCATCCGGAGTTCTAACAACTCTGTAGCTAGGCGCGGTAGCGCTATCGGCAAGAAAATATGGCTTGGTATCGATAACTCAATGGATCACAGCCACCCGAGACTCGACGGTAAGAGACGGAGAAGGTCAGTCTCACAAGTCTGCAAGATGCCGGGCGGAAATGACATGTCATCACCCAGAATCATGAAAGAAGGGGTTATGGTAGGTATTGTTCCAAATGTATCGTATCCGAGATCCTCCAGCGGATTGATCTTCCCTGTGTGACAAGCGTGTCTTCAAATGCAGCAGCGCCAGCATCCCACGGCCGGCAGAAAAACCGAGCGTCTACCTACGCGACTTTACGTACGCATACGTGAAAAAGCGATCCTGTCAGTTGCGCCCGCTAAGTTAGGTAGTCAAGGAATGGTTGTTTTGGAAAGTTTTGCTCGCAGCGGTGACAATCACGCTGAAGAGAAGAGGGAAGACGAGTGCGGGTGTCTTCTCTGTCATCATCA